CTTCGTGTCCTCGGACCAGGACCAGCGGCAGTGGCAGGACTTCGTGCAGGACATGCCGTGGCTGGCGCTGCCCTACAAGGAGAAGCACAGGAAGGTGAGCGGCGCGGGCCGCGGCGGCGCCCCCGGCCTCCGGGCGCTGCCCGCGCGACCCCCGGAGCCCGGTCCTCCGCGCTTCGCGTCCACCACCCCCGCGCCTCCCCGTGCCCCTTCTCCATCTTGGCTCACTCGCCCCCTCCTGTCCCCCTTCCCCTTTTCATGCTCATTAACCCCCCCTCCCCCCGTCTCAGGACCCCGCCGGTTTGGGGGTCTCGGTGGCGGCCACTCGGTGTGGAGGCGGGGGAAGTTTGACACCCCTCGGCTTCCCTGACCGGGGCGTGTGCCCCGAGGGGTCCAGAGCCTGCCCTCTGCCCGCACACGCACCGGAGCTGGAGGCTAACTGCGGCCCAAACTCGGTGACCGCACCCCCTCCCTCCCGGCCCCCGCCCCGCAAGCCCCTTAAGTGCTGGGAGGAGTCCTCGCCTTCCCTCAGCCACTGGACACCCTGCAGATACCTGTAGTCCGTTGGGGAGGGCGCTGGCCCCCTACCCAGAATGCTCGGACCAGGAAGTTTCCTTTCCCAAAGAAAAATCTGCATTCCTGGGCCCGGCTGCTCCCCTCCCCCTGCGACTGGGGACTGGGGGCCCGCGCCTGTCCCTTGCCCTGGGGTGTCCACTGCAGACTCACGAATTTGGACGAGAAGGACGAGCGTTTCATTCCCCTCCTACCCTTCACCCCACTCCCACCCTTCCCCCTTCCCTGGTCCAGCTTCCCTCCCCAGATGCCTCCCAGACCCGGAGTTGCTGCTGGGCCACGGTGGCCCGGGCATGCTTAGCATCACATGCAGATCGACTTTCTGAACAACGTGGTTCTGGGGAAGCGTCTACCCGCCCGAAGCACGTCAACTTCTCACGTCTCCCAGAAATGAACTCACTTTGAGTGTCTGAATACATCTGGCGGATAAAGCTGTCTATTTTAGTCGAACAGATTTCAGGAAATTCTGGAATGAATGGAAACAGAAAAACGTTTCTTGGAGCCCTCTGAGTGTGCCTGTTGCAGTGGGTGAATGCCATGCCTTTCTGGAGGCAAATCGCCGACCTCGGAGAGCATGGGAAGCAGGGCTGTTGGGGGGCGGGGGGCGTTTGGCCTCCTCTTGGCAAGGTGGTAGCACATGTGCTATGTGCTTCTTTTACGGAACCAGGTAGAGCAAGGGGCGTTCTTTGACCGTGGCTCCAAATGTCTCGAGTAAACCCTCCATTCTGAAGCACTGTAAGATACAGACTTGGGATTGAAAGTATGAAATACAGCTTAACAAATAGAGCCTGTAACTTAACTTTAAAGAAACATGGGCCCACTAACCACATGGAGGCAAAACTTGGCCTGGTGGCCACATTTGAGGTTATATTGCCCATTTTGATTTGTATGATTGATAGGGCCTGAATATGCATGACTGTTACTTTTCGCTTTAAAATACGGGAGGTCTTTCTGCTTGTTTGCTTTTCTTTCTCTCTCTCCTCCCTTCCTCCCTCTCTCCTGCTCCTTGGTGGTGGCTTCCGTCATCCTTCTTGGGAGTTAACGAAAAGGTACTCAGTTTGGGACAAATAACGCTCAGAAAAATGATGTACTAGAAACGATTTTCATGGCTCTGTCAAGTTTTTATTGCCGACCAATGTCTGTTTAAAATGATACCCTTGTTGGATAATACGAGTGATTTCTAGATTTTGAAAATATACCAAACTCACGGCCACTGAGTCAATTCTACCTCCAAGTGACCCTATAGGACAGAATGGACACCCCTGTGGGTTTCTGAGATTGTAATTCTTTATAGGAGCAGAAATCCCCGTTCTTCTCTCATGGAGCTGGCTGGTGGTTTCGATCTGCTGACCTTATCATAGTTAGCAGCCTGATTCATAACCACCGTGCCATTAGGGCTCCATTTGAAAAGATAGATTGGGGGGTCCAATGTTGCAGACCTAGGGCTATTATTTTGTGTTTTTCACAGATTAGGAAATAGATTTGCCTGGGAGAGTGAAGACATGAAGCCCATTGAGATGCTTTGCAAATATTTGAAACCCTTTTTAGGAGTAGGAGAGGGAGAGTATTTGGTAAACTTGGACCATGCCTGGCCCTGTGTGTTCTGCCCAGTCCCTGTACACATTCCAGCAGTGTTCTGTGGCCTATCCTAGATCCTAACTCCACCAGGAGGAGAGGCTCAATGACAGGACAGGCGCATGAAAATACTGTTCAGGATGCTGCTGCACATGCCTAAATGATAGTAGTTTGCATCTTCACGCTTTATCTTGCCTCCTGTTGTTCTGACTCATTGTCCTCTCCAACCAGCCCCTGCCACCCATCATGGTCAGGAATAAGTAGCTCACGGTCTCACCCAGACACCTTCATTGGTGGTGAACTTCCAAGGAAGAAGGCTCTAGCTGTGCTGGTTCTGGACTGTGGCAGATTCTTGGGAACTAACATGTTGGACTGCTACCCACAAGGTCAGCAGTTTGAAACCACCAGCCGTTCCTTGGGAGAAAGATAAGGCATTCAACTCTTCGTAAAGAATTGCAGTCTTGAAAACCCACAGGGACAGTGCTACCCTGTTCTTATAAGGCGGTGGTTCTCAACCTTCCAATGCCGCAACCCTTTAATCCAGTTCCTCATGTTATGGTGACCCCCCCCACCATAAAATTATTTGCATTGCTACTTCATCACTGTCATTTTATTACTGTTATGAATTGGGCGACCCCTGTGAAAGGGTCATTCGACCCCCAAAGGGTTCGCCGATCGATCGACAGGTTGAGAACCGCTGTTATAGGGCCCCTGAGCCGGCATCAACTCAACAGCAGTAAGTTAGTTCTTTTGGTACTCACTTTGTTTTTTTTAATCGTTTCATTAGGGGCTCATACAACTCTTATCACAATCCATACACACATCAATTGTGTAAAGCACATTTGTACATTCATTGCCCTCATCATTCTCCAAACATTTGCTCTCCACTTAAGCCCCTGGCATCAGGTCCTGGTACTCACTTTGAAAGGAATGTTTTGGCCTCTTGACACCAATCAGAAATTGAACGAATTTCTCCTCTGTAACTTTGAGCAGGTGTCTCTCCTGTTTGAAATGGGGCTCCTTAGTCCCTGGAGGGGTTCTGACAGTGTATGCAATTGGGCTCACTCTACCCACTTGATAACTCACGCTTCCCTGCTCCTGGCCATCTTAGCTGTGACTGAGTGGATCTGTGCTCCGCAGGGATTTCAGTGACTGATTTTACAGATGTCAGTCGCCAGGTGTTCCTTCTGAGGCACCTCAGGTGGAGTGGAACCCTCAGCCTTCCAGTTGGCAAACAGGCACAGTAACCACGTGGACCACAGGGACTCCATTCCATGACAGGGCAGTGGCACCTCCAGGGCTTAGGTGCTTGGGTGGGTGGGCCTGTGGTCAATGGACTCTGGTTGGATGATCTCGCCAGCTCTTAAAAAATGACTCTCAAGAAGGGAGTTTTGTTTTACAATGGAAGGAAACCAAAGTTTCAAATTAGCAATTTTTTTTTAAGTTCCCATTAACATTTGTTCTTTAAATTCCTTCGTATACTTCTTTCCCACTGGGATAACGAAGGATTATGGTTCTAATTAGTTATTGGCTGGCATGTCACAAAAGAAAATTGAAAAATTATGGCTGGGAAAGAAAATACCATGTGGTATTCCTTTTTTTTTTCCCCTCCCTGCTTTTATTAATTTCCTCCTTTATATAGTAAGGAAGTCTGGAGGACCATATATGTTAAGCCTGTGTTTTGCCTGGATCGCCTCACCTTGCTTGGAGCGGTGAGAAAACACCAAATGACAGGATTCCAGCCTCTTCCGCGTTTGTCTTCAATTCTTTTCCAAAGGCTGAGCCTCTTCCCCTTGGGTCAGAAGTAGATGAAAAAGCTCTGGGAGCCTGGGTGTTGCGGCTTCCCCAACACACACGCATTAGATGGAATCGGATTTAGATGATAGAGCTTTGAGCAGGTTTCAGAGCAGTTTTGCCAAGAAGCCCATAATCCTGAAGTGGAGGCAGTTGGACTTGTTTGAATAAGGAGTTTTGCCTTTTGATTTAGTTCTTTCTGGGAGACATTTTCCCCAGGGTTCCGACAAGAGTGACAAAAGACTTGTTGGATGGAAATAGCTGGTCTTCTGGGAGGTCTCTGTCTTTGGATTAGTAGAAGTTTTTCAGTTGTGAAAACTGGAGAGTCGGCCTTCAGGGGCCACGCCAACACAGTAGAAGTGCGTGCTGGCCCGGGTCTTAAAACTGTAAGGGAAACATTTGGTCACTGGGGGAGTGCTGACATCAGGGGGGACAGGACCAATAGCCCCTCTCCAGTTCTGGCTTGGTCCCAGAACTTCCTCCCTACCCCCCTGGGTGGGCAGGCAAAAGGTGTGGCGCATGGACTTTGGTCTAGCATCTCTGGTCCTCCTGCGCCTCTGAGGCCTAGGGGACCATCCTCCTGCAGTCTTGTGACTGTTTTCTTGCTGCTCTGGGTGGCTCCCACGGGCTCAGACCAAACCAGAGGCTCAGTCTAGCATTTGCCTGCATTGCTTCAGCTCTTTGTATGGGCACGATTGAGTTTCTACTTAAAGAACATTGTGCAGTCTGATGCGTCCTCTCTCCCTCCCTCTATCCAAATACCCTGCCCACTGAGAGGGCATTTTGTAGGATACCGCGAACTCATTAAGGAGCCCTGGTGGTACAGATGCTAGCTAAGAGGTTGGCTCTTCAAACCCGCCATCTCTGCTGTGGGAGAAAGATAGAGCAGTTTGCGTCCGTAAGGATTGACACTCTTGGAAAGCCTACAAGGCTGCTCTCTGCCCAGTTACAGGGTTGCTATGAGACGGGATGGACCTAGCAGCAGTGACTTGGATCCACCACTGTGTCTTTTCACCTTCATACAGTATTCACGTCCAGGGTGGTGCAAAGTAGCAAAAGGGCAATAGCTTTATAAATTGGGCATTTCTGACTTCCTCCCAAACGGTCTGGTCTTGACCAGTCAGGACAGGCTTGTCCTGGTGTCTGTGCTTCCAG